ACGTCAGGCCCTATGTCGCCTGAAATGTTTTGCCCCATCAGACGTTTCAGCACAGCGCTGCAGTGCGCAGAGCCGGAGCGTTTGTGGTGATCTGAAGCGTCAGGGGAGGTTGCGCATCCCCTGCTGGGCTCGTCATGATGAGCGATGATGCTTCACGTCAGTCAGCTCAAGTGGGGAACTAGATACAACTCTGGGAGTGTTGTTTGGAGCCGGCATGCAGGATAGGTCTGATGTGGAAACACGTGCAATTTGCAAAGCTTAGTTCTGAATTTTGGTACCACAGACCTAAGGGGGGTTCAGATACACTACTGCCCCCAGGACTAAGATTGCTTCTCCTCAGATCACTGTCTCTTTAGATTGCAGCCTCTTATTGACATATATTAAACAGGATTTGATGCCACCAAGCGAGCCTCAGTCCCTGAGGCCAAGACACTGTGACCATGGCCAAGCACAGTGATCACGCCCTACTTCCTCCAGAGACCACAAGAGGTATGGCCCTGTGATTGAAATGTTAGGCAAATACCACTGATGCTTACCAAACCCAGAGAGGCCAGTTCTGACCCTTCAGCAGGGGACAGGCTGAGGAGTTTCTTATTGAGATGCACAGGGCAGACAAAGTGTAAAAGACGTAAAAGTGTCTGCCAGAGGGCAAACAGCAGGTGACAGGCTGAGGCAGGAATATCGATCGTTCTGTCTCCTAAATACTCGGGCCGGGGCTTTACCTGCTTGCCTCTCCAGCCCTTCCTTTAGCTTCTCTCGCTCTCATTTTTCCAGGGACAGAGCCCCAGCTGCTTCCACACATAGTAGTTTTTATATGACTAACATCTAGGCTTTGTTGAAGACATCAGGGTTTTGCTACCAACTTCAGCAGTCATGTCTGGAAGAAGTGGAGCATATGTTACACTGACTGCAGGGCAACTATTCACTGTGCATCTCTTAATTGCATCCATACAGACAAGATGTTCTAGTGCACACGGTCAGTTCCAAATGAGCAGGAATCTGGCTAACTGAGCTAGACTTCTCCAAAGCAACTGTAATTGCTAGTCCTTACTGAGAACCTTACTCTTGCCAAATTTCAAGTTTTTAGCTCTATCCGGTCCTGCAGGATCCCTGTCTAAATAATCACCGTTGATTGCTCCTGGAGTTGTGTGAACGTTCACAACAGCATTTGTCATCTTCTCATTTAGTGTTTTTCTAAGAAAATAATTTTGCTGTCAACAAATCCCTTTCTTGAATGAAAAGCTGGTAGCTAAAGTAGCATGTTTAGAATAGGAATGGGTTTTCGTCCTCGCACTTGCCAAACTCAGCACTGCTTCAGAACTTAACATCTAAAGGATCACAGTGATTCAGGGGTTCAGAAATGTGTGAACTGATTCTCACCCAGTGGCTACTATCAGGATCCCATTAAAATAATTAACCACGAGGCTGCTTGATTTTTCTTCTATTCTGTGACAGTTGAGCACTACGAAAGACTGTTCAGATACTGGTACCTATCTTCTCTTATCTTCGTGTATATGATCATTTCTGCTGTTAACTCTTTTTTTCTTATGACCACACCAAGACAAGTTTGACTCACTCAAATCCAGGTATGCATTTTATGGTCAAGAGCTGACAAGAAGTTATTGAATTCTGTGCAGCCTAGATTGAGCTGTTGAGCTGAGTTTAACTGTGTTTCAGATGCTTTGTGAATAGAAATAAAAGTATAGAGCCAAACTTGGGGCACAGAAGGACAGGACAAATATTCAAAAGCAGCATGCAGTTTTCATTGCCCCACTTGCTGGACAGTCCAGCAGCCTGCAGTATGATGAATATCCCTGATGTGTTTGAGTAGCAAGCTTTTAAAGAAATTATTTGCAATTAGATCTTCAACATCTAAGCTCTTCCCATTCAAATCACTAGGGTTTCTGCAAAGATTAGACTCTGTAAGCTGACTGTAATCATTAGATTATTTATTGTCAGCTTCATGCAAGATTTCCTTTTTTGCTTCTACATCATCTGCGGTAGTTGAATCCTGAAACCACACTCTTGCATGTGACATTTCATTGTATATCAGTATAAGCCATAGCGCTTCATTCTTCAGCATATTAAAGTGAATTTGATATTTTTATGTCTTTTTTCATGCTATTTCTTGAGAAAACAGAACAAGCATTTTAACTGCAGAGTTTGTGGCAAGCTGCTTTTGTGAGTGAGAATTCACATCAGCAGACGCAAGGATGCGCTGCCAGTTTGTTCCTAGATCACACCTGGCGGCAGGGTGGGGGGAATTCAGCTGTATGTTTATTCACTTGGAGCAGAGAGTCAGCAGGAGGTGCTGCGCAGAGCACACGTTTCTTTGGGAAAAGCACTTTTACTGTCACGTTATATCAGGTCATCCTGGATTAATATCTCAAACAAATACTTTTATATCTTTTGTACCATGCAGTTAAAAGCACAAGCTGTTTAACTTCACTGCTGGAGCAATAAATAGCTATCAACACTGAAGCCTGTTTGCTGATATGCTTTCAGAACAAAGTATAAATTAATTACTCCAGTCAGGAATGCTCAAGAAGAGTTAGATATCAAGATTTAAATTAAGCACTAATAAGAATACAGAAGAAGCCACTGCAATTTATTGAGGGTAGTTTTCTGGTATTCTTTTATATGTCCACACACACACACACACACACACACACACACACACACACACACACTTATTTTTTTCAAAATAACAGATTTATAAATAAATAGCTCTGAGCAGTAGCAGCTCTAATGTTTTTTTTTTTTACATGGAGGGTGGTTAGCAGGCAGGAGTAGGACGCTTCCTCTTTCGCGACCGTGGTGCCAGGCTTGGTGCTGGCACCTGCCCTGCTGCTCTCTGTGCTTAGTGCAAAGAAAATGCTTCAGAAAGAATCACTAAGAGGTGACTGTCAGTGGTACAGATGGGGACGAACCCCGCTCACCTCAGTGGAAGGGCCACCCTTTGACTTGAGAGGTTTTAAAACAAGTGCCATACGCAGAGATTAGCAGCGAGCCAGGTATTTTGCACATCAAGAGATACCGACTGTCGCCATGCAGGCAAAATACATTTGACTGAAAAAGAATCGTCTCAGCGTGGATGGTAGGTTTCCTCATGTCCAGGTGCCTTCCCACCTGTTTAAGGGGCACCAGGCTCAGCCTTTCCCGTTTTGCACAGCTTTCCAGAATTGCAGACGGCATTGCTGGCTGCGCAGAACTGGGCCCCGATCCTGCAGTGGAGCTGCAGAGGATGAATTAGTTGGATTGCAGATGGGTGTACGTCTCTGCTCACAATAATCACATTACAGGATCTTGGCCATCATCTGGAGCTTCTAAAAACAACGTTCCTTCATCTGTTTGCCTAGCTGAGGCATGATATGTATTTACACAGGCTCTCATCTGAGGAGGTTTCATCATCTCTTGCGTAGGAGAATGCTGAAATGATGTTTGCACCAGATATATTCCAGATTCCACATAGGCTTTCAGTAGCCCAGCATAGTCCTTCTGCAGGAAAATATGTTAATACCAGAGTGAAGTAGCATAAAAGTAAAAGTCATGCATAGTGCAGTGGAGTTTTCCAGTTTATTCTCTGATTTAAAAGGTCTCAGCCTTCAAGTATGGGTGCAGTTGCTCAAGGACAAATAGACCCGCAGAGAACAACAGGATTATTCATGTGCTCAAAGTTAAATCTCTGCTGTGGTGTTTTCAGTATTAGGACATTAGGCAGGCTCACCAAGATGCCTAAGAACAGACTTAACATTAAGGGTGTGAACTGAAGAAGGCAATAATACCTACTTTACCTACTTTAATTTCCTGAGTGAGAGTTTAACCACAGAGTCAGAGGCTAAGCAACCATTACAGACTCAAACTCTGCGACTGAAAATTTAGGAACTGTGTATCTTTGAGCTGAGTTAAGTTGAGATGAGATACATGGGCTCTCTTCCTGAACCAAGGCCTGCAAACCACATTCAAGGCCCATGAAAACTTGGAGCATCTCAGCCCTGCCTGGGTTCTCAATCCCCCAGCTAGCAGAGCAATAGGAAGCCAGTGAACATGAAATCTCTGGGAAAGCTAGCTACAAAGTACGAACCTTGGGGACCTGGGGAGCCACGGGGGTAAAAGCCTGCTCCAGAAGCAGCAGAGGTCAAATAGATTTGGCAAAAACAAAACAAACAGCTCCCCCCCACCAACTGTTAATTTTCAACAAATCAGTGCATTCTAGTGTGTTCAAGCTGACTGTAGGCAGCCAGTTACAGCAGTAAGCACATTGCTGGAAGTACACTGAAGCAGGTGTTACGAGAAGTTATTTGCTGGACTCTGCAAAAAGCCATTCAACCTGCAACGTTTTCTGACATATGAATGTTTCATCATTGTACTTTACCTCTTTTCACCTAGGTACAGTAGAACTTCAAGAGAGACTTCAGAAGATCCACCAGTCTGGCAACAGCTCCCCAAGGACATGGACTTTCTCAATGGGAAAAAGTGTAAAATGATAAAAGAATGCTCAGGGAGGATATTTTCAGGAGTTTTTGCCTGTGTCCCTTATACACCCAAATCTCTCAGTAATTTCAGGCCCAACCCTTGTCAGCCAAGAACACAGTAAGAAGGAACAATTTATTCGCTGATACCTGCTTGAGAGGGACCTGAACAGACCTAACGGGCATGAAAATAAGTTGTTTTGACATTTGTCCTAAGTTTCTTGCTAAACCGTTCATTTCCTAATTTCTAAGGGGAAAGTGGCATGCACAGATGCTGGGACTAAGCTAAGGAGATGGACACTAGAAGAGGATAAGCACAGTTTGCTCAAGGAAAACTTTCTGAACGAAGTCATTCACTTATGGTTTGAGAATAAATAGCTGTCATAGGCCCTAATGCCCTAAAGATATCTGCAGGCACACTTTATTTTATTGCACTTTGAAATCTAAAGGACTCTTCAGGAATGGAAGGTTAAACATGCACGTAAATGTTCACGAAGCTGGAGCCATATTTGACTAATTTCTCCTAGGCTGATAATCAAACACTAAATAGCCCTAACTCCTGGAGCAAACATTTCCCCCTAAGGACAAACCTCTTTACTGAACAATAGATCAGGAGCGAGCTGGCACTCCGGAGTTCAAGGCAGACCCATGGTAATTAATTCAGTTAGAGCACAGCAATTTGGAGGTAGCAGAAGGATGGCAAATCCCACCCTGTTTCCTAATCTTCCCCAAAGGAACATATTTATTACAAACTCTTAAAATCACTTTTTGATAACGGTGAACAGCCTGTGAGGGGCCCATTAAGGCATGCAAGGCAGACCCATTTTAATCCTTAATATCACTTGAAGATTATCCATTTTAAATGGCCTTGCAGAGCTTATTATAATTCTGTAAACTATTAAAAAGAATTAAAAAGCACTGTTACATCTATCTGATGAGAAGCAGGGGCTCCTCTAGCCTGTCCAGTACAAACACCATATCCCTGTGCCTGATGGATGGTGGTGATCCAGATTCTCATGGGCACAGAAACCATCCGAGTTTCACTGAGAGTAAAGACTGTATTAGAGCTGCTTGTGTTACCCTGTTCCTCCAGTTGAATGCATGGATCTCATTCTGCTTTTCTCCACAGAGCACCGTCAACCAAAACCCAGACGGCTAACTCACAACTGGCCATTCTTGGGATGCAGCAGCTCCACACTGCTCTTAAACTCAAGCCACTGCATCAGTAACATAATTTGGCTGGAAAAGGAGAGAAAGGAAATGGAGCAGAGTTCAGCCCCCACCAAGGTGCAGTGGAAAGAAACTAGTTGCCTGAGACTCCTTGGCATGAGGAGGACCCTAGTTGCTTTAGTGGCTCCCATGCTCCTTCCTCCTAACTGCTGCCTGAACAGCACTGGGGAGAGAGGAATGAGCTGGGAATGCTGTCCATCTGGGTCTTATTTGCCCTGCTGTCTGTGCCCTTGAGCCTGTGGAGGACAGACTGGCAGGTAAGGTATCTGTTGACTTGACCTGTTGACTTGCATGATCTGGGCCCTTCTTGTTCCCTCAGTTGCTGTCACTAAATAAATGACTGTCAGATTTATAGAGCTAAATGCTAAAGGAAAAGAAATGTGGACTTGGGAGGCAAGTTTAGCATCACATGTTTGCCCTCTGAAGTAAAGAAACCCAGGAGAGCAACCACAATGAACCAAACAGCATAAAAGGTATGGGACAAGTGGAGTGGCATGGAAAAGGAGGGGTGAATTACTCAGGCTCGAGCCAGATAAGCAGCAAGTCTTGCACAGCAATGCATCTAAGGCCTGACCTGCAACGCTGACCAACCCAGGCATGTGAGCAGAGAGGCGTTCAGGCTGAAATGGAGCAGCTAAGAAGTGAGGAGAGGCTGCCAAACTCATTTTCGCTGGGGATCTGAACCACAATTCAGTCCAGGTGACATTTTACATATTTTCACCATTGTTTTTGTTTAATTTGTGAAAACAATTACACAGCCAATTGAACAATGTAAAGCAACTGCTGCAATAGTCAATATTTCAATGAGGTATAGAGCAGCTTAGCTTTCCCAGTTAGGATATTCAGTCATAGCCCTACAGTATCTGTACCATCCATCACTGACATTGCCATCTGGCTTACCTGAACCCTCCCCAGCTACAGCTTGTGCTAAACAAACCTGATTTTTCTTCAGGCTCCTTTTGAGGTAAACAAGGCAATGAAACACCTTGCACTGCTGGTGATACGCACAACATTTAGCTAGCATTTTTAGCTCTTAACTGAAGCATGACAGGGGACAACTAAGTGACAGGCAAGACCAAATACACTGGACCTCTGGGTGGTCACTTTGATGTGGATAATTGATGGCTCACCCTCTTGAATTACACAGTGTAAACATGTAATATTAGATCCCTACAGGACTGCTTTGCACTTGTGCCACTTCAGCTGAACCACTCCAATTTTCATTGCTGTGGCTGAAATCAAACCTGCGCCCGCAGTCCCATTCTTCTGCTGGAACTGGAGGGTGCAATTCCAGTCACCTTTCCCCTCCCTGATCTCTGGTGTTTAACAGCAACTGGAGATATTCCTGCTAAATTTTCACCCAGTAAAACTGGAAAGAGAGAAATTTCAAAACTAAACTTCTGCTGTAGAGGTTTCTGCACTGTATTTGTAACTATGGAATTTGAGGATCTAGCTAAGCTTCAAATTTCCTTTACTACCTTCTATTTACTGCCAGCTCTCCTCTTCTCCCATCTGATATCCCTTACCTTCCTGTTGGTCCAGCTCTAGATCACTGTTTCTTTCTCATCTGCTGTGGTACTTCTGTTCATGACTGCTCTTGCTGGGAGGCAACTCAGGTGCATGCAGACAAAAATACATTGGGAAGGTGTGTGCTGCAAGTGGAGCTTCAGCAACGGGGACAAGCTTCAGAGTGTCCCCAAACACCAAAGGAGTTCAAATCCATATTCCCATTTTGCTCAGTCTGGATATTGGCAGGTCAGGCAGGACAAGGAGAAGCAGGAATCAGGCATTTTCACCACCCTGGAAGATGACATGAGCAGGGAATGCCATACTACCCACACAAAGGAGAAACCAGGAAAAGGTGCGAGGAGTACTGTGAGGAAGTGCAAGGAAGGACTCGGGCCTACTGATGGTTTACATGATATACAGAGCAATAACAAAACCCAAGCTGTTTTATGAGCAGTGGAACCAATTAAAGGTCTCCAAAGGTTCGATATCATATTGCCGACTTTACCTGAAGGGGAACGAAAGACTTATTGGGCCTCTCCCTTTTACCCAACTGCCTCCTTTCATGATGTTTGTAAGAACTTCTTCCTCTTTCTCACCTGTGCTAAATAGCTGAAATCCACCACGGGGCTTTCAGTTTATTAGGGGACAGACAGACACACCAGTGCCAGCTCATGGCTTCCCAGTGGTGTAGGCAAAATGGTATCTCACCACGCCATGCCTGCAGGACCACGGCCAGTTGGGCAGGTGAAAGGAGGGAGCTGGAGGAAGGGCTGGGCCCGGACAAAAAGCAAGGGAGAGCCCTGCATGGCTGCAGCAGCTGACTGAGGGCCTCCAGCCTTTGTCTGGGGCTGGGGCAGTGGGTGGCTGGAGTGGGAGGCCAGGGACAGGAGCAGGAGTACGCTGTATGGTGCTCAGTGCAGGGAGAGGACATGAGCAATATTCCCCAATGAGTTGGGCTGTGCGCAGGGTGTTGGGAAAGCCTACCTTGTCCAGGGTGAATCTCTGCCAGGCAGCACTCTCTGAAGAGCAGGACTGGTGCAAGGCAGCCAGGGAGTCTAGAGCAGAGGAAGGAGCTGAATTCAAAAGTGCTGAGCTGGACATGCTCCCTTTTCTCCTCACTCTAGTATTACTTATCCCTCCCCAGGACCCAAGCAGACGTTTACCATAACGCTCCCCACTCAGGAATATAAGCATCCTAACCTGGATGAGCTGGTATTTTTTGGTGTGCATCCGAGTTAGAGAATTTGTGTATCAGTACTTAACAGATAATAAACAGTTTAGAGCGGATGTCTAAATACGAGCTACAGTATTTGGGTTCGGCATTGTGCACTAGGACAATCACTAGTCAGAAAAGACACAAAGACAACATCGCTAGGTCACAAGCATTATAAATACTGTACACAGGTACATATGTGACCAAATCTTTCAGTTGAAATTTGATTATAGCAAAATTGCACCTGGCATTATAAAGCAAGTCTAACCTTAAAAAAATTCCAGTGCATTAAGTGTCTCTCCTCAGGAAACAGATCTGCTTTTGTGGTGGGATCACTCTGTGTTAATGGTCAGCATCCCTGCACAGCCGAGCAGGAGGGAACTGGACTTTTTGACTCCTACCTCAAGGCAACCACTCACATCCTCTTGCAGAGCCCAAGCCTGCTCTCGGGTTGATCTTAGTGAGCCTGTCATTTTCTGGCTCTCCTTTGGCTACTGAAGCAGGGAGCTGGGCTGAGCCACCCGGATGCCCAGCTTGCTGCCAGGGCTGCCTCATGACAACTTGGTGACACAGATGAGCTGCGGAGGAGGTGTAACACCGTCAACGGAGTAGGAGATAACTGCACACAAGTACGCTGGGAGCTGGCAGTAGCGCCGCTGTGTTACCTATGATAAATAGCCCATGTCACCGCAGTAGCTGGTCTCCAGATTGAAGCAGACTTTTCCGAATCAGCAGGGTCAGCATTTGAAAAGCATGTGAATATTGTGCACTTGTAAATATTTGAGCACATCTGTTTAGCTCCCTCTCAAAAACCACTGGGAAAAACTACTTCACATTGTGCCATGCAATGCTGTTACCCTGCTCTAATTGTCAAATCTGTTGAGTGTTTTTCTCATGCACACAAAAATTAAAAATTACTATCCTCATTCATGATTAATTCAGCTGCAGTGCTGCACTGTGTCACACTGCATTTTTTAAAGTATTAAATTCCACCTCATAATCAGAAGAGTTTTAATTAACTTTTTGCCAGTTCATCTTTTTTTTCCTCCCTCACACAGCCTCAGACAATCTCCGGAGCTGCTCTCCCCACAAACATCTCCCTGGATACTACCAAGAGTAGTAGATACTACAAGAGTAGATACTACATAGAGTACAAAGCTGCCACTGGGAAAATTGACCCAAAAGTGTTTGCCTCTTCCATGCTTTCCTGCTACGGGCCTGAGGCTCTTCTCTGACCCTCGACAATTTACTCGTCCAGGGGATGGCTGAGATCTAACCCACGTCATTTCTTAGTTGTTTGGGAAGAGCACCTGGCTACTACTTCCCTTCAGCCCAGCTCCTGTAGCAGATATGGCACTGGCCTTTTATCTTAAATCTTTAAGGAAGTCCAGGAGGGGACTTCAGAGGAGAGTTTGGATCTTGCTATAGGCGTTGTCATTGCAAGTGGAGAGCGCAGCAACAGAGGAAAGCAGAAGGAGCTTCTCCCTCGCCTCGGCCCCTCCAGGACTTGGTGGCCGCAGCGATGACGGGAAAACTGCCTCGGCAACACGACCACACTGCCTCTAGATGGCTTTTCCTTGAAGGACCAGCACTTACTCAGTGGATCTCCTCAGGTTTTTTTCTGACCTTGGCAATATTACAAGGGTCGCATTCTCACATGGCTGAATTGTTCCTGAACAATTTCTCCAATGTATTAGGCACAAACATGCTTTCTGTCAGCATCAGGCATGTCTAATCCCTCCACCTGCTTTCTCTTCTGGCAGTTACATTCACTGCGTCTGCAGCACGGGAAATCCCACTGCCCTTATTTGTGTGGTAGCAAATTCCCCTTGCAGACTGAGGGAGTGCTCACCCTTTGGAAGAGTGGAGGCCAGAGGGGTTAAATTTTCTTTACTTTCATCAATAAAATTTCTTCCTGGGTCTCTAATTTAAAATAACTAGTATCACTGACTGGCCTTAAGGATGTCAGGCACCCTCTTCCAGACCCAAGGGCACCCAGAGCGCACCCTTACGTCACCTGGTTGGTGGGTGGTACCCCTCCTACGAGCACAACTACAACAGTGAACCTGCAGCTCTGGTCTCAAGTGTTTGAGACACAGGGGTATAGCACCACCCATACGATCAGGTGGTATGAACAGGTATCCCAGAAACAGGCCAGCTCAAGGAAATGATACCACACCCTTCAGTGTCTGCTAATGGTTTACATTCCCTCCCAGGGGCTGTGAAGGGGCCCCTTGGGGCCACTCACTCAGCTGAACAAGGGTATGCGCACCTAACGGTGCTAGCACAGCTGGGGGCAGAAGTGCCCTTCTTCACTTTCCCCCAGGGTAACTGAGAGGAAGAAGATGATGGTAGAGCGTACACTATATTTATGTGACTGCTCTTACTGCTCCTTCCTGCCCATACCTAGGCCTCACTTCCCTTTAGAAACCAATATTGTCAAATTTTAGGGCAGAACTTGGTACCAGCTACCCTTGAACCATCCCGAAGGTCAAGGAGCTGAAAGGAGCTGCAGGGGGGATCCGTCCGCCTGACTTGGGGGGCAGAGCAGCCCCGAGGCGGCCGCCCCCATTGCGTTCGGCAGACTCACTGTTTATGATTTCATAACCTCACTCTGCCTTATTTAATGTTTAACATTTCACATGTTAATTGCACTAATGAGTAACTTGTCTGGGTCATACAGTAGCGTCTTCTCCAAGCACTTGCTAGCAGGATACCTGCTAATAAAACAGAGCCTGTATAAAATATCTAGGGTGTTCAAGTGGGAATTTATAACTCTCTTCTCCTTTCATGCACAGAGACTTCCACACGTCAGACCAGTCCCCTTGCTCGCAGCTCTGTCCGAGCCAGCGCCACGGGTCACATAACAGAATCCTCTGAAAGTGCACAGAGAGAAGGCGGCTTTGGAAAAGGGCTTCCCTGCAAGCCCTGCGGACCATCTCTGCAAAGCGTGATGAACACAGTCTGAAGAAGTGTTCCTGGAGCACATGCCTGCATTGCCTTAATAAACCAGCTCAGGGACTCATACCAACAGTATCCTTCACAGTAGCATTCAACATGACAACACACCATGAATATTTCTTTTCACAAGGTGCATAAACTGAAAGACGGAGGACATGGAGTTTTTATAGCGCTCATACTGATTAATACTGCCTTAACAGTGGTTTGTTGCATATTTGGACAAAGAAAGATGGCCAGTGGCCCCTGGAACCGATCATAACTCACCAGCTGTGACCCACAGGGGCACTGGAGACTCTGCAAAGGTGGGGATGATTTTGCTTTGCTGCTTACTCATGGCACTTTGCAATGTCCACTGTGTTCCCACCGATTCCTGTGTCCGTTTAAGGAACCCTTTCCCGCTGAAGCTCTCTTGAGAGCTGGGAATCCCAGCAGTACTTGAGAGAATGTGACACTATTATAGCTGATATATGAGGCCTGAAGAAGCAGCTTCTGAAACATTTGCTTTCCAGTAAGAAAACAAAGAAGGCATATCTGGCCCAGGACTCATTTTTAATGAGATTTCCTTAAGACTTTTTTCCCACCTGCTCCTGTCCACTTTCCCATAAGCGCTACCCCAGCTCTGCAGCCACTTGTGTGTTGCACAGGTTGGACTCAAACAATCCTGATGCCAGAGAAACATAAACCTTGTTGAGGCGGGAGACGCTCCAGGGAAGACTCCCCATTCCCAGCCTGGCATTTCCCTGGCTTTGTTTCTATTCGTTTCTGGAACAAAAGAAGCTGTACTTCCCGAGAGACTTTCATGGCATTATTTCGTATTTGCTGCCCAAATGGCTGCATGTGCACAACAGCTTTTCCCCAGCTCTTCTGTGGTCAATACGCTACCAGTTATTTTAGGATAAACTCATGTAATGACTAGGCCCTCGGCTGCGAGCGCAAGGCTTAAGAGAATAATCCTGTCTACCCTGGGTTTTAGCCACCACAAGTTTCCAAGGGCTCAGACTATGTTTATCTGCATAGGTAGTACTGGTTTAAAAACATGCATCCAGTTACAGCTGTGAAGCCCCCTACTCTTGCATAAGTGTGCTCTTGCTGTAAATGAACTGATGCCCTGTGACTGGTTCCTGTGCTGCAGGAAGGAGAACCTGTACAAGTTTAGCTGTTTATGCCTCTGCTACGGGCCGTATCACTCGTGCAATGCCCTGTACAAACGTACAGCCCTGTACAAAAACAGAAGCTAGCAGCGCCTTGGTAGAGTTTGGCCTTGCTTCCTTCCACCCCTTCCAAAAACATTTATGAGAGGGAGAACTGCTAAGTGGAATATTATATAGGAGAACCTACTTTTTCTCCTTTTTGCTGGATTTCTTGGGCCAACTGGTATTAAAAGTGAACTCCTTCATTTCATGAAATTTTTTGCCCCACTTTGATGCACCCCCAGAAGACAGACAAGATGAGCAGACCCTTTCTGCACCTTCCTAGACAGCCTAGCCAATTGCACTAGCTGAGGACTTGCCCCCCTAGTCTGAAACACAGCCTTTCAATGCCTAGAGTTTACTTTGGTGATATTTCAGTGATTTATAATTTTTTACAAATGAGAAAGCTCAAAAAATTGCACATACCTTTTATCACTGGGAACTCCCCAGGAAAAAGTTTATGCAGAAAGGAAGGGCCATTCCTCATAGCTCTGAAATGTGATAGAGTGAGAACGGAGATTAATAAATGTTTTCTGAAATAAAAATAGGAAAGGCCACCAAAGTGAAGTACGGCTGGTGGTTACAGTGAGCACTGCAAAGCTGCATAAAGGATTTGGACACTTATCCACTAAAATTAATCAAAGACATGCATTTCAGTCCCATAGGCTGCACTGCAGATATGACTATGGGTCTCAAATGTACTGTTTCTCTTTGGCTGCTGTTTGATCTCTCTTACTTTCCTTATGTAACCATGAATGTAGAATATATAATGTAGTAGTAGTAGTATAAACATAATGTAATAACGGAAGGAACATAGTCACACCTAGAAGTCTATTATGCTTTAAAAAAACACCCTCAAACTCAAAAGGAGAATGCAGGAAGAGACTATTATGAACAAGCCTATGAAAGGGGCAAGTTTGGCATACATTGGCCAAGAAAACCGTATCAGAAAGCTCCCCAGGAGTTTCCTGGCTGCTCAGCATGATGGGTTATAAGGGATGAGCAGAGGGGACAACTTCTCAGAACAAAATGAATCTTGTAGATCTCCTTGCTGTGTCAAGGGATACAGTAGGATTCCCCCAAAATAGCTAGGTAACCAAATAGGAGGTAAACACAGCTGCTTAGAATCATTTTCACCTGATTTTGGGTCATAAAAGCTGTCAGTAAGACCTGAAAGTTAACAAAAAAACTACTTTCTTTAACTGGATCTGGAAAAGGAAATTTGAAAATATTCTTTTTCATTTCATTCTATTTTTCCTTCTCTTTCACAACCTCCCCCTTTTTTGTGGCATCAGATGAAATAAGGGTAACAAAGAAAAGAGGCAGAAGAAGAGTAGAAGGAAGAAGATTCAAAAAAACATGTGAAAACAAATAATAAGGAAAGAACAGAGCAACAAAAACTGAGATCTTTCAACTGCAATTATTTTCCCTAAATTTCAATGAAACCATTCAGGAAAACAAAATATTACTAATTTTCTCTCCAGAGGTTTTTGAAATGATTTCAACATTCTTCCCCAGCCTGGTTTACTCTCGTCTCCAAGCCATTGTGATGAGTGGTGCTGGAGAAGCTGTCCTACCAGACAGGGAGCCGGGGAACAGGCCATAGTGCCGTCAGACGATACATCGCCCAGATTAAGAAATCACCAGGACCAGGCTGAATCCAGCAGGCCTTAGCAGGAATACACCAGTCACCCCACCACCTCATCCTTCTGTATTTCAAAATCAGTTTTATTTAGTATGGGACCATAATATAATTTAGACAGCTGTCAATGTAAACAGTTGACAAACAGAGCATCTAGAAAGAAAAACTCAAGAACCTGAAGGGTTCCTTTTTCTGGGGTAGCCTACTACAAAGCATTTGTGGTACAAGCTTCTATGCACATCCTTGCTGAGAGAGCTGTATATGCTAATTTAACCCAAAGGATTGAGTTACAGGCTTGTAGGACCACCCCAGCACCCTGCCAGTGTCCAGGCCTTCTGCAGATTCCTGTCCCATTGGCCGGATGGCAGACGTCGGTGAAGAGGGTGCTGGACTGCTGAAACCAGAACGGAGTGCTGGCTGATGGAGCCCTTGGTGCACTGATCTGAACAGCTTGTGAACCATTACTATCTAGAAGTGTCAAGTAAGATTAGAACAAACATCAAGCAAAGATAAAATAAACAGCTATTGTATGGGCAGAAATGGATTTTCAGTTTCCACAGTAAATAAAATAATGTGCTGTCTTAGTCAGTGCCCCTGTGATGATACAGTTTGCAGGATTTTTACTGGCAAGCTGCCATACTTACTTTCATTTATCTGCCTCAAAGCACCATTTCAAAAAGTGCAAAAGCATGTTGTTGATAGAGTAGATTGTTTATAGCTGAATTGAGTATTTCAGAACAACACGCATTGTAATAAAGGGGGGGAGGCGACAGGGAAGCCAGCACAGCTGCAGCTTCTTGAATCCTTTGTCAAAAATCAATGCCAGAAAGCGGAGATGGATTTATCCTGTCTCGGGAAATGCAACGCGCAGACCCTTCGCAGCTCCCCTCAGTAACAAGTCCTAACAGAGGTCCTGCAGGCCATTAGGTCCACATTACTTTCAGGGCTTTCCCCCACCTCATGTCCACGCTGCTGGCGCTTCTGGGGAGCTGAGCTCAGTCTGGCCTGCGTGCCCTGCCGGCTCCTTGGCTGCCAGTGAAGTCCGAGCACCGTCACCCCTGTGCATCATTACCGCTTTACTGCTGCTGCCCTTAGACAATTTGGAGCACATGCTACAGTAAGTCTTCCAGCAATTTGAAGAAAATTTGGGAGCGCAGAGGGAGTAAGAAGAAAGATAAGAACAATAATAGTGTAACTAAAATCAAGGTGTTTCAAGAGTGGACAAGTGCAGCCCTAGTAGCTGCCTTGGTAACCCACTGTTGATGGAGCGTGCCTGGCAGAGTGAGCCGAGATTAAGGAACAACAGCCCATTGCAGGCAGAAAACGGTGGCCAAAGCAGAAGCGAAGCTTATCGGAGCTCACCAATCTTCCTCTGCATTCACACAGTTTTCAAAAGGACAGCAAGTCAGAAAGACTGGTTTCCATGTTCATGAAAAACAGCATGAAAAGCAAATGCCTCTGGAGGTTTGCACTGCTAACAAGGACTGGTTTCCTCAGCGCAAACAATAACGGGCTGATGAGTGAGGAGTTGAATTCCCCTGAGACCTTTGCATCTAAACAAATAACAGATGGAAAAATATGACTGGTATTAAGGTAAAAAGAGAACATAACTTTATGGGAGGACAATCATAACTGCTACCCAGAGTTAGGGGAAGCAGGGAGACCATTAGGATCTCCTTTTCCAGTCCTGCTGGCCCCAGAAGCAAAAAGTCTCACACTCCCACCATGCTGGGGAGAAAGTAGCTTTTCTGGCCAAGGTTACCTTAGCTTATTGGAGATAACATCAATCATATTATCTCCAGTTTGGCCAAGGAGGATACCATGGAGGGACCACAGGCCTATGGAGATATACAGCCTTAGTTTTCTCCTTCAGTCTGGCTTCGAAAATGACCTGCCAGGCAGGACCCACGGCGGCTGGCACAGAGGCCAGAGCTGTGTGGCAGCTCTTTTTGGTTGCTTAGCCTCTTGGCCACCTGGGGCCAAAATTGGGTTGGAAAGACAACCCGTTGGGGTGACTCCAACTGTGCGGGTGACTCTCACTTTGAGACGTCCCCCTCGGCTTGGTAGAGGGTGCTGAATGCTCTCTGGGTGTTCTGGGCAAGCTTCGCTCTCCCAGGTACTACATGCTTTTAAGAGATACGACGGTCCCTCAGCTTCCTGTGTTGCAAGGGAGTTCCTGGAGGCACTCAGCACCCCAAAGGAATGCTTGGTTCTTTGCTGAATCAAGCCCTATTAACATATTTCTAGGCATTTACAGATGCCATATTTTCTACATTAATATTTAACCCACCAAGTCTTTCAAAGCCCATCTTTCCAAACCTCAAGTTCCCAGATGCTTTTTAATGCCCTTCTCAATTGTGCAATAAAAGTCTGATATTTTATTACTCCCATGAATTATTATCCTAATTTGTAATTTGCCAGACTTTTTCAAACTTCAAAATCTGTACTGTATTTTCCCACACACACAAAAAAAATTTTGGGCACGACACATTTTTCACTAACAAGCTGAAGCCTAATATTTAAATAGACACAATGATTTTTCTGAAAGGGCGCACTATCTTTGTCACACTGTCAGTGAGGTTGTTTTATGTCACCCCAAATCATGTTTAAAGGTTTTCCTAAAATAGGATAACCTAGAACTGCGCATGAAACACTTGAAGCAGAATGAAACGGTTATGCATTCTTCTGAAGTTTGATGTAATGTAAACTTCCAGGAGGGTTTATAGGCACTTTTTTTTTTTTTAAAAAGAAGTAAGCATCTTGGTTATCTGGAATGCAGATGCTAGGCAAATTCAGAAGCTCTGGAATGCCTGCAAGCTGTGCTCTCTGTGCAGTAGACGCCGAAGATAATGGAGCGTAAGACACTCAAGATCTGATCCAGCACCTACTGAAACCAGCAAGGGCCTTTCTATCGACTGCACTGAGCTTTGGATGAAGGCTCCAAAGAGCACCTTCCCATCAATGCACCAGAGACCTGACCAGATCCAGGACAACAATAATGAGGCAGGTCAAATCAGTCAAAGGCAGCAGAGACACTGAAAGAGGATCCTTGGGGTCAAGCTTAGCACACTCAGCATGTGTAAGCAGAGCAAGACTTGCTTTCTTCCTCTTGTAGTCCTATTAAAAATGAAGGCAGAAAACTTCCACAAAGCCTTCTGTAATGCCTCAGAGTTTGCCACAGGTTTGTGCAGACTCCTATGTTCGCAACTTGACTGGCAAAAGGCCAAATGCTTTTATTTTTCTAGGTAGAAACATGGGACTATACTTCTCAAAGGTACAGGCCATGTCATCTTGAAATGAGCGGCTTGATTACTCACAGAGAACTTTCAATCTTTCAGATTATCTAAATCCTTAAAATACTCAAATCCTAGAGCATTTAAACTCTGCTAGAGTTGGACAGACCTGTGCTAGAGATGCGAGAGAGATGTGACTGGCAGAATCTGGCCTGGAGACTGAATGAACAAGTCCAATAATTTCAGCATTGGTTTCAAAGTTTCATTTTCCTTTTCCACCATGGGAAAGATCCAACTAGCAGTGGACCTTTTGATGTCCACTTTCAGATGGGCAAGAACTGTGGATATAAAACTTCTGCCAGGTAGTGATGGAAATGGGCTTCCACAGAGTGTCTGTGCAAGTGGGATGAGAGGGTTCTTCATAGCGACAGATGCCCCACTAATCCTTCTTGCTCTGCCTTTGGCCCCTTCAGCTGCTCCCTATGCAAGGCTCCTTAAAATTTGCATTGGGGTTGAGCTCCATGTAATGCAGGCTCTCTTGTCCATACTTACCTCCTGTTTTCTCATCCCCTTGAGAAAACATCCTTCCACTGCCAAGTGGGCTTTTCAACTGCTG